GCAGGGGAGGGGTGACTGATTACTTGCTCCAGAGGATGGAGGGACAGCAGGATCTAATAAGTAAGGACAGAGGGAGGTTCCAGGCTGTGCATTTTCAAGCAGGAGCTCCACCTTTTTGATCCTCAGATGCCTAGAACTGATGTTCAACCAGAAGCACACTGTTAAGGTATAGCAGACATTAAAATACTGGTTAATATCCAGCTCCTAGTGACTGCCTGGGACAGCTCTCCTTCAGTCTCCGCACATTTCAAAACCATTGCCAAGGACCTTACCTCAGCACTCTGGCTAAGCTGTATTCTAGATTGGTCATTGGACTCTTAACCAGGGGTTAAGGATTTTGAACATTCCTCATGCCGTTGTTACTCACCCAACAATTTTATGAACTCCAATTACAGACTATGTCTAACTCAGCACTGAAAACAAACACATAGCTTAGTCCTTGAGGGAGACACACCAGTGACTGACTGCCCAGAATGACATGATGGGCGAAGCAGAGGCAGAGTGATCTAAACTGTGATGGGGAGAATCAGGAGGGGGCCACTCCTGATCCAGCCTAAGGGTTGAGGAATAACTTCCTGGGTATGAGCCCTGAGGGAATGAGGATTGGGATGAAAGGGGAGAGTGTTCCAGACAGATGGAACAGTCTATATAAAGGCTTGGTGGTGAAAGAAGCAACATTTATTCACACTCCTTATAGTCAGTCCTGCTGATTCATTTGGGGAAGCAAGTGAGGCAGTGCTGAGTCTGCTAGCCCAGAGCTTTGCCAATGTGTCTCTGCAGGATCTTGGACTAGTAAGTCTCTCTCTACCGCTGGTTTGTGTTAAAGATCCATGCAGAGCATGTGGGGAGAATGCTGGCCATGGGATCTGGCATGTGGCAGACATATAAACAGAAGGGTTATTAGGAAGTCTTGAGGGTGGGTAGCTAGGCAAGCATCTGAGTTTCAATTGAGCTGCCTGTATGTGGAGAGCGGCTACAGTGTTTGGACAGGTTCAAGCCTCAGACTAATGAGAGGGCACGGTCCTCTCATGGCAAAGCCACATGCAAGTCCTAGTTTGGAGGGCAAAGCCCTCCCAGCACAATTATAGCCAAAGGCTATAGTTGTAAGCTTGACTTTATGGTCCGAACCTGTGGTCCCATGTGGCTAAGTGATATAGGCTGCAGGAGGTACAACTAGTAAACAAAGCTTGATCAGGTGCATGTAATTGAGTACATTTGAAACCCTCGAGAACGTTGTAAACATCTTGACCACGCCCTTACTTTGCCTTGTGGAATCTGGCTATAAAATAAAGAGACTTGGCTTTGCAGGCTGTGTGCTGTCTCTCCATCAGAGAAGCAGTGTCCCACCTAGCCCCAGCTTTATTCTTTTGTCTGACTTCTCTATCCTTCACTGCCCCCTCTCAGGTTCACCCATGGCTGTGCCGATGTGGCACACCTGTTCAATGGGTTGTTGTTGTTTTTTAAATATTTTTTAAAAATATATTTTATTGATTTTTTACAGAGAGGAAGGGAGAAGGATAGAGAGTTAGAAACATCGATGAGAGAGAAACATCAATCAGCTGCCTCCTACATACCCCCTACTGGGGATGTGCCCACAACCAAGGTACATGCCCTTGACCAGAATCGAACCTGGGACCCTTCAGTCCACAGACCGACGCTCCATCCACTGAGCCAAACTGGTCAGGGCTCAATGGGTTTTTAAAAATTGTTGACACTATTAAAGATTTCCCCCATCTTCCCACTCTTTGCCCATCTCTACCCAGTCCCTGCCTACCCCAACATCACCCCCTGGCCATCACCACACTGTTGTCTCTGTCCATGGGCTATGCATATATGTACTTTGGCTAATCTCTTCACCTTCTTTTATCCAGTCCCCCTCCACACACACTCTCCCTTTTGAGATCTGTCAGTCGTGTCTCTGGTTCTATTTTGTTCATTAGATTCCACATATAAGTGAGATCATGTGGTATATTTTTTTCTGACTGGTTTATTTCATTTAGCATAATAATCTCTAGGTCCATCCATGCTGTTGCAAAGGGTAAGAGTTCCTTCTTTTTTTACAGCTGAGTAGTATTCCATTAGGGGTTTTAAGTGTTGCCATCTTACAATTGTTGGATTTCATGCAGCCATGACTAGTATGCCTGGCTCAGGCCTGGCAGCCCAGTATCTAGGAGCTGTCAATGTGGTGTGCAGGGGCCAGGTTGCACTAAAGAATGAGCTGATGAGTGGGGAGCCATTCTGTTTCTGCTTGGGTGCCCAGTTCTCCATGCACAACATGTCTCTTGAAGCAATTGATTCCTGTGTTGCTGAAAAGACATTAGGGAAGAAATCTGGGGTTGGGTGTCTATTTGCCCTCAGGCTCCCTTTCTGCTCTGCTGTGTCGTAGGTGGCTGACCTGGGTGGGCAGCATCATCTGGGCTCCTTTCCCTCTGGCTTCCAGTAGGGTATGGACAATGGGGAGCCCTACAGATTTGGGGAGGGGATTTCAACTCCCTCTCTGTGGGGTTGCCAGGGACACAAGTCTCCCCAGGGCAGCCCTCCAGGATTTGCTCTTCTGGGTTTTTCACTCCCTTGTGTCTTGTGGTGTAGAGTGGGAGTGTGTGACAGCTCTCCTTTGGTACCATGTCCGAGGTGCTGTGGTTTCACTCTCCCCTGCCCACTCCTTTGCAAATTATTCCTTCACTGAACTCTCTGAAATAGCCCATGTGAACATGCTCTTCTCTTCCTGCTGGTCCATAAACTGCCTGCATACACATTCATCAGCAGTGATTTCTTAACCAGCTGGTTAGTCCAAGACAAAGTCTGGTCCTTCTAGGGCTGAAGAGCTGACATTAGGAAGTGGAGAGTGGCAGACATATTGGATTCTTTTGAACTACTAGCCCACCTCCTTTGTGCTGAGAACCCAATTTTGTTTAAGCATGTCCAGCACAGGCGAGATGGTCAGTCCAAGCAAATCAAAGCAACCTCCATTCCCATCGCCTGTGACTGCTCTGAAGGGGAAGGTGTCTAGGAAGGCTTTGCAATTTCCCCCCATCGCCCTGAAGGCTGTTTTGCTTCATGCTTTTGCTACTGGCTGGGTGGGGGTGTGCTGCTGAGTGCATGGCAGACACGTTGCAGTTGTGAAGACCTAAGCTGGAGGGTGAAACTCAGGCTCATAGGGAGCGACAGAGCAGAAACAATCAAGAGTAACAAATGTCCCTATAGCGGGCACCCCCATAAGCCAGGTGTTTGCTACTTGGAGTTGAAAGCTTAACTATAATACAGAGTGGGAGAAGGGGTAATTTTCTCAAGGGACAGAGTCTCAAGTTGGTCTCCTGGGTGTCCAGGGTCCTGGATGCCAAACTTTGCCTCAGGGCTCTTAGGTGACTGTGACCAAGCAAGGCAGGAGCAAGGAGAATGGGTCTCCCGTCTTTCAGGGGTGGCCTGTTGGCCTGGCAGAGATGCAGTCCTACTACTAGCCCTGGACCACCTGGGCAGAAAGAGGGCGCTTTGAAAAATAAATAAGACTGGCATCTCCCCAAACACAAATATCAGGGACTTTATTTAGGGGGGAAAATTGTGTGTTGGTTTCTTGGATTTATATGTCATGAAGCAATAAGGCCTTGCCTGGTGCGATCTCATTCTCCTCTCACTGCCTGTCCCCTAGCTCACTCTATTCCAGCTGTCCTGGCTTTGTTGCCATTCCTTACATGTACCTTTGATCTTCCCATGGGGCCTTTGTACTGGCTGTTCTGCCTGGATAGTTTCCTGAGATGTCCAGATGGCCTGTGCCCTCTACTGAGCCTCAGTTCAAATGTCACCTCAGAAAGGCCTTCCCTGACACTTCAACCAGCATAGTGAATTCCCTCAGCTTATCTAGTTATACAGTTATTGTTTTAATTCTTGTGTTTTGCTCTCTAGAAGGTGAATACCACAAGGACAGATGTTTTGTTTCTCCTGTTCCTCACTCTACCCCTGTAGAACAATGACAGGCACCTGGGCACCAGCCAGCAGGATTTTTTTTTTTTTAACAACTGCCTGATTGGTTCTGATGTATATTAATATTTATGGAGGCAGCTGTAGGCCATGTCCTCATGTTGAAGGGTCTGGCTCTGCCACCAGGCAAGCCTAAGTTAGAGTTTCAGTTCTATAGGACCCTGGGCAAGGCACTGGATCTCTCTCAGCCTGTTTCTGGTGGGCCATGACCATCAAACAGAGCAGGGAGAAACTCAGGCAAGTGGGAATTCAGGCCGTAGCAGTCTGCATGGTAGAACTGTGCTTTAGGAGAGGGCCCCACCCCTGCTGGCTTCCTTTTTATACACTTGGGACAGTGGGGGCTTTTGTGGCAAGAGTGGCCCTCTCAGCAGATACGCACATAGCTAGATGCCTGCTGCCTAGGGAAGCTGGTACTAGTACTGGGAGCTCATGGGTTGTTGTAGCTGGATACAGTTCTCCTGCTGGGGAAATAATGACTGTCCCAGCTGTTCGGTGGCCTGGGAATGCTGCCCAGATTGTCCAATGGATAAACCTGTTTGTCTCTCCTCAATTTCCCCTGTTGCAGATGGGAACAAAAGCCTGGTTCTCAGAGGATCCAGGATGGGCCTGACCCAGGGGCCAGTGGTATGGTAATATGTGTACTGGTAGTCAGGGTCTGGCACATGGTGATCACAGCAGCTCCAGTGGGTTCTTGGGCATCAGTAGCGGGTAGAAAAGAAGGACTGGCCACTCTCTGGGGTACAGGTGGGTCTCACTGGGCAAGGACCACATATGATCCCTTAGCAGCTTAGTGGGCTAGGGATAAGCAACATAAAAACCAGGTGCTGGGATCATCATTACTACAGTTCCAAACTTCTTGGGAATGGTGGTCCGTGTTCCCATTGACAGATTCCGAGAACAGGGCCTAGCATCAGTGCTTATGAGAGTTCTCTGGGATGGTCCACCAGAGCACTGCCCTCCACCCTCCCTCCCTGCATCCACCTGAAGGAGCTTTGTGGATGTGCCAAGATAGGCACCAGCAACCATTCCTCCAAATTGTCCGTTTATTTGCTTAAAAATACCTATTTTATCAGAAAGTAGCAGGGCTGCTGACCCTCAGTCCCCCTGTGCCTTCCTCCGCACAGCCTGCACCAGCAGCTCCGAGTAGTGTTCCAGCAGGGCACGCAAATCTGGGCTGGCCAGGGGGCACAATGTAGGTGGGGAGGGGGGGTCAGGGCTGGGGAGGGCCTGGGCTGGGGCCGCATCATTCCCAACCAGCCAGTCGTTGGTCTCTAACTGGCTGTGGATCCAAAGGAAGGTGGAGGCTAGCTCAGTCCGTGCCTGCCGCTGCTTGGTACTCAACTGGTCACTGGAGACCATCTGCAAAGGGTGCCAATATTGTTAGGAACCACCCAGGCCAGACAGTCCCAAGGTACTCCCTCAGCCCTTTCCCCTGACTCTGGGCTTGGCTCACCAGGTGGTAAAGGTCCAGGGCTTCTTGGAAGGCAGTCTGTAGTTTGTGCACAATGGTCCCCACACTGCTCACCTCAAGGGGAGCTGGGGACAGGACTCTGGCTGGCACTCCAGGCTCTCCCCAGTGTCCAGGGCTGTCCCGGAGTACACTGAGTGCATCTGGGGATAGAAGGGAGGGAATGAAAAAGACACCTCTAACTTTATAGCTGGTCTAAGAGAGGCCATGGTGACTGGACTGATCCCAATTATTGTCCCACTGCCTGCAATATGTACTTCCCTCAGTCCCCAAGCCTCCCTTTCCTCCCCTCCTGCAGGTCTCAAATGCCACTTTCTCTCTGAAGCCTTTTTTCATCATGTTTAAAACTATAACAACAGCCTGGCTGATGTGGCTCAGTGGTTGAGCGTTGACCTATGAACCAGGAGTCCCGGTCAGGGCACATTCCCAGGTTGTGAACTCAATCCCAGTGGGGGGCATGCAGGAAGCAGCTGGTCAATGATTCTCTCTCATCATTGATGTTTCTCTCTCCCTCTCCCTCTTTCTTTGAAATCAATAAAAAAAATGTTTTAAAAACTCTAACAACTGCCCTCACTTCTAACTCCTTAAACCCTTTCTCTTTATTTCCCTCCTTAGCACATCACTTCGTGATACACTTAACACTTTCCTCATAGATTTAGTTTGGGCATCTTCCCCAATTAAGGTGTCAATTCTCTGTAGTTTTATTTACCACCTCATCCCATCCATGTCCTCAGGGCCTAGAACAAAAAGCCCAACACATACAAAGTGCTCACTAAATAGTTCAGTAAAGAATAAATGAATGGCATAGCCCCTGTGGCCAGGTCAAGTGCCTATCTTTGGAGCTGTTAAATGAGATGAGCTTGAGAGACAACCCCTTATCCCAAGGGTGATACTCACCAGGGGTGAGCTCCAGGAGGGAGGTGATGCTGCCAGGCATGGCCTCTGGAAGTGGGGGGCTGTTGGGGTGTGCAGGGGTGTTGAGGGGTTCAGCGGCCAGAAGCCTTGGGAGAAAGGTGGAGCTGTGGAGCCTCAGGGAGCTCATATCTACGGGGCTGGAAGCCGGGAAGCTAGCTGTTGTGACTGTGACATCGGACTGGGTGGCCACAGGTTCCTGGGACCAGACACAAGTAGTGGGTGGCTCCTGTGGGGGTGAGGGCAGTAAGAGCCTGTCGCAGACGCCTGACAGGGTCTGCTTGAAGCTGTCCCGGGCTTCATAGTTGCCCTGGGAGGGCAGGGCAGGCTCTTGGCCCTCACTGTCAGAACTGGTTGCTGCTGTGGTGGTGATGGCCTGAAGCTCCTGGTCCATGGAGGCCAGCTTCCCCACGGATGAGGGCCTGCAGAGGGGTCTCCCTCTCTCTTTGTCAACCAAAACAGGGTCCTCACTGTCCTCAAGGGAAATGCTGGGTGACATCTTGGCACAGGAACTGGCAGTGGCCTCTATATAAGAACAGGTAGAGGGGGTATGGAGGCCTGGAGTGGGTAGGGTTGTGGGTGCCAGAGGCTTCCTATCTGTGGGCAGTGCTGAGGAGGAGGGAACACAGGAAGTGGGCCTGTGAGGCAGGGGGCTGTAAAGGAAGCAGCCAGTTCACTCTCACATCCAAGCCACAAAATTGATAGAGAGGGCCCCACCCCAGGATGGCTGCAGGTTCTGAGTGGACCCTCCCCATCCCCACCCATGGTTCAGCTGGGCATCCAGGGCCATTTGCTGAGAAGCCCAGGGATGTTTACTAGGAATGGTGACACTCACTCAGTGGGCACCAGGCCTCCAGGTTGTCAAGCGACTCCTTAGCTTTCCTCCCAGAGAGGACCTGCAAGCATAGCCATGAGGCGAGGACAAGGCTTCCCAGCTCCCAGCCCTATGTCCTGAGGAGGTGGCCCAAGTACTCACATTGGTCCTCCCTGGGAAGGTGTAGCCAGTACCTGGTTCTGCTCTGGCCTGGTTCCCCTGGAGGTCTATGAGTTTGACCTCCGGGGACTTCACAAGGTGCAGGTGCAGCGGGGAAGGGAAGGTGTGGTTGAGCCTGTGGGGAGGAAACCAGGCAGTTGTGCCTGCCCTGGGATGCTTGGGAGGACATAGCCCCATCCAGGAATACAGAAAGTTGGAAGGTTCAGTTCACCAGCTCCTACCTGGATGTCTTCTGGAGACGTGAGAGGAACTGGGCTGAGATGCTCAGCCGGGGATTAAAAAAGTCCTCATCCGCAGAGGCCGTCACATCTCTTAGGGATCTGCGAAAGAGCTCTAGGGGAAGATGCCAAGGGAGACCTCAGAATCCCTCTAGCCAACTAGTCCTAGGTCCAGACAGACCCACAAAGCAGCAGGCAAATCATCCAAAACCCCCATCAATAGACAACACAGAGCAACTGGAGCAGGAAGAAGAAACTGTGCAGCTCAGTCCTGAAGATAAAACGTATGCCCTCCCACCATTCTCGTCAGCCCTGCTAGGGAAAGCCCTAACCCAGAGATGCCCACACAGTGCCTAGCACAAGATGGCCCGCCTAGGTAGGGCTGAGAGGAGCAGGGCCCTACCCTCATGGTGGGTGTCAGTAAGCGTCTCAAAGTGATGGCGGAGAAACCTCTCTTGCTCAGGGGTCTGGGGCAGGGAGCCATTGGATATGCCTGCCAGCTCAGGCCGAGACAACTCTTCTGCTGTTCCTGGGCATGCTGTGAGAGGCAAAGGGGGCAAGCGGGAGAGAACCTTCAACATTTAGTCATGGCAGATACCCTGACAAAGACACTTAACAATGGAGAAAGCTGGACTTGCCCAGCACACACCCTGATGCCACCAGGCTGAGAAGGAAAGACTGATGGCTGTCTTCCAGGTGAGGCTCAGTGGGCACCAAGTGTAGGGCTGATGTGGGGCCAGTGTTTATGTATCATGACAACCCTCTAAGCAAGACCCATGCACTGCCCTTCCTCACGTCTGGCCCATTTACCTGGTATAGGGGTCACTGTCACGTCAAACTGAGGGTCTGAGTCCAGCTGTGGAGGGGAGGAATGGATGGTGGTGAAGGTACACTCCAAGTAGGCTTCTGAATCCCCTGAATCTAAAGAAGCAGGGAGGGGATATGGGAGAGTCAGAAGCCCAAAGCCAGGCTCTTTTTGGGTGAGTCAGGTAAGTGGTTCACTTTCTCTCTGGATTTTAGTTTCCCCATCTGGAGAATGGGGATGATAATACTCGCCCCCTATTTTTATGGACAACAAGGTTACACTTGGAGGAAGTGGCAGAGCTGGGCTGCCGTCAGTGGGCAGTTTGGCTCCAGAATCCTCTGGTAACATCAAGGACCATGTCTGTCTTCTGCGATAGACTCTTGAATTTCAGGAAGACTGGGCTAAGGTCATCATCAGTGCCCAGAAAGAGGCCTAGTGGGATGAACAGACTACAGCAGGGTCCTTGCCAGGCCCCCACTCACCCTCAAGTTTGCTCTGATCCTTCGAGCCCATGGAGGAGACCCTGAGATAGGAGTCACCTTGCTGGTCTCCAGGCTCCCTCTCCACTTCTTCTGAGCCGTACTTGCTGCAGTGCCAATAGGGGTGGAGCGAGGGAATGATAACACACTATTTAGTAAACAACTGGTCCCTACCCAGAACCCTGAAGCATCTGTACCTTGCTCCCCTTGGGAGCACTACTTTGCCTCTCCTCCCTCCTCCAAAGGCTCCCTCCCCCCCGAGTGCCCTGCACCTCCACCTAGAACCATGGAAACACGCTGCAGGGCTGGGCTTCTACTCCATCTGGGCCATACCCCTTCCTCCCCACTCCCACAGGCTACTGCAAGAGCAGTTCTTCCAGAATGTGCCTATCAGCTGAGGCTTCCTCTCTCCAACTAAGGCTCCCCTTGATGTGAAGGATACTCACCTGTCTGTCCCTGGGACGGTCACCTCTACCTCCAGGGAGCTGACGACCTCTCTGGCTTCAGAGCACTCCTTCTGTAGAGGCAGGAAGGAAGGATTCCTACAGCCATCTTCCTGGGGACTCTCTGACTGTGGGGTGAAGAGGCACAGCCATCTGAGGCAGCTGTGGCAACCAGGGCCCCTCCAAGTTTCTAAGTGTTACAGTAAAGTGAGCTGTTGGATGCTCACTGTGCACCAGGGCCTGGACCAAGCCTTTTGTTCACCATGAGCTCACTCTGTATCCAACTGCATTATCATAAGCCCCTTTACAAATAAGGAATAAGTATGGCTCTGACTCTCTAAGTGTTTATTTATATGAAGTTCAAAAACAGGCAAACCAGCCCTAGCTGGTTTGGCTCAATGGATAGAGCGTTGGTCTGCGGACTGTGTTCAACTCTGGTCAAAGGCACATGCCTGGGTTGCAGGCTTGACCCCCAGTAGGGGGGCATGCAGGAGGCAGCTGACCGATTCTCTTTCATCATTGATGTTTCTATCTCTCTCTCCCTCTCCCTTCCTCTCTGAAATCAATAAAAATATATTAAAAAAACAAAAACAAAACAAAAAAACAGACAAACCAGTCCATGGTGAAAAGGTCAGATGCTGGTTACCCTGGGTGGAAGTACTGACTGGGAGGGGCACAGAGGTCTTCCTGGAGGTAGAACATGCTCTATATTTACCTTGGTGGTACATATACATAGGTATATACACAGGTAATAATTCATTAAGCTATTTACCTAAGATTTGTGCATAACTGCATGTATATATTATGCCACAATAAAAAAAAACATATAATAGGATAAAGAAGAATTTTATTTGCAAAATAATAAAATAAGAACTAAAATTGCTTCAGTACCTCTAAGGGGACCCAGGCCGTATTCTTAGCACTGAATTCCTGTAAAAGTTCTCTGAGGGCTATTTTTTTTTTTTTAATTCTCACCCAAGGACATGCTTAGAAAGAGGAAGGGAGAGGGAGAGAGGGAGAGAGAGAAAGATAGATAGGTAGATATAGAGAAAAACATCGATGTGAGAGAGTAACATCAATTGGTTGCCTTCTGTATGCTCTGCGACTAGGGATCAAACCCACAATCCAGGTGTGTGCCCTGATCAGGAATCGAACAGGCAACGTTTCATGCACAGGATGATGCTCAACCAATTGAGCCACCCACCCCAGCCAGGCCTCTGAGGGCTATTTTTCAATAACCATTTTAAGAAATCTTTTTAGTCATCTTTTTTTTTTAATGTCTATATTTTTGAAAACTGAAGCCCAGAGAGGCAAGCCTTGCTCTAATTCACACAGCAGGGAAGAGGTAGAGCCGAGCTCCACTTGTTCAAATGCCCCCCTACTCAGGCACAGGCCTGCTCTTGGGCCCAAGCTCTTAATCCTCAAAGTGACCCATCTCCTAGATTCCTGGTCTGCCCTAAGAAGTCTCACTGTGCACCAGGCCTGGGGCTCACCCTTCTGCCCTCTGCCATCTCAGGCAATCCTCTCGTGCCCCTGAAGTGGGAGGTAGGCCTGTTTTCAAAATGAGAGCACTGAGGCCCCAGGTCCTAAGCAGACAGTTGTGGAGCAGGGGCAGTCCTTACCTCACTCAGCAGGCCTGCCAGGCTCTGTGGCTTCACTATATCCAGAACGGAGTCCTCCAGACTGTCGGACTTCAAGGGGGTAAAGTAGCAATCCAGGTCACGGACATCCAGGATGGTCTTGAGGGGCTCCTGGTCAGCCCGCTCTGCCCAGCGGCCATGTGGCTGGTAGCTGTGCTTGGTGTAGAAGGCTGAGCCATCCACCATATCATCATCTCCAAGCTGAGGATGATGAGATGGTCAGGAAGCCAGCCAAGTGATCACGAACTCCAATAAGGGCCAGGGACTGCACAGACCTCATCCAGTCTCTTGGCATTAAAGACTACTCAGAAATAACTTCCAGACATCTATCTCTAGCCTGAACCTTGCTCTTAAACTTCAGAAGTATACATGCAACTGCCCTACAGCTCCAATGGATGTTTAGTGGATATTTCAAAGCAAACACAAAGAAAACTGATCTTCCCCCCCAAATCTGCTTTCCTAAAGCCTTCCCCATCTCAGCTATTCTTTCCAGTTGCTCAGGCCCCAAACATTGAAGGTCATCCTTCATTCCTCTCTCTTATTCTGTCCCTCATACTCCACATTGTATTTCTTCAGCAAAATCTGTCAGCTTTGTCATTCAAACACATCCAAGATACAGCCACTTCCCCTCCCACCCTGGTCCAGCCCACTGATGCCTGCTACCCAGACTGTTGCTTGAGATAGTGGAGGGTGGGTGTTTGAGAACTCAGGCCACCTAGGGTTGATTCCATGTCCTCTAATTCCTAGCTCTGTGACCCTGGACAAGTTACTTAACCTCTCTGGGCCTCAATTTCCCTATTGTGAAATGGGGATATGAAAAGCCCCTATCTCAATGAGAATTAAATGAGGTAACACATGTAAAAGACTTAAAACAAAGCTCGCACAAAGCAAATGTACAGTGATTATTTGTTGAATGTAATTCCAATTATAATCTTCTATAATAAAAGCCCAGTGATCGAAACGACGGAACGACCAGAGACCAGAACGACTGCGGCCCTGCCCCCCAGCAGGGACCCCCACCACGACGGCCCACCAGGGCAGGCCGGCCGGCTCCCACCCATGCACCGGGCCTCTATCCTATATAATAAAAGGGTAATATGCAAATTGACCCTAACAATGGAATGACCAGATGACAATTTGACTATGAGGCACACTGACCACCTCTTGGTCCCTCTCCCTGGCCAGCAGGCTCCAATCGCCCAATGGCGAATGGGGAACTGGGGGTGGGTGGCGGGGGATGCGGGTGGCGCCAGGCCAAGGCCGCCGCCCCGCTGGTCACCCCACACACGGAGGGTGACCCACAGCGGGAGCAGGGCCGACGAGTGGGCAGAAACGGCTGACCTCTTGGTCCCTTCCCCTGGCCAGCAGGCTCCGATCATCTGATGGCAAATGGGGAACCGGAGATGGGTACTGGTGGGGGGTGGGGCCAGTTGTGGACACCCAGGGAAGATGGCCCTGATCGCAGGCCAGGCCTAGGGACCGTACCTGCACACGAATTTCGTGCACCGGGCCTCTAGTATACAGTAATAAGGGGAGGCTTGGGGGCCTGAGAGAGCATGGCCAGATGCCCTGATCTGGTCTGCAGGGAAGAGGATTGCAGGAGGTATTTCCCTGCAAGGCTTTGATCTGAGGCCTGATATTGTTCCTAAAATAAACCCTCCAACCTAGGGTTTAGGATTCTGCTACCAGCTTCTACTAGTATACTACCAGCTCCTAGTCTGCCCCTCCTCAAAGATAACAATCATCCATTCAATCCTAATATTATTTTCTTTCTCAAATTTTTTCCCTTCATAGCACTTACCAGCTCCAAAAATAGTTTATTGTGGATCTTGTCCATCTCCTATGTAAGAAAATGAGCTTGTGAAGGCAGAGATTTGTCTGTCTTATTCATTGCTGTGTCTAATGGCCATTACAATGTCTAGCAGAGGGTAGGTGCTCAGTAAATACATGTTGCATGAATGAAGGGCTATCTAAGCTGAGACTAGAAGGGTGATGGGGTTCTCCAGGGAAGAGAGATATGGAGAGGAAAATAAACAAGAACATGGAGGAGAGTACCCCTACTGTGCTAGTTCCCAGGTATCACTCACCAGCCGCTTTGCCCAGAGTGGCAGCTTGCCGTTGGTCAGCAGGCACTGAGGATCTGAAGAGACACATAGAATCCATGAAAAGAGAATAAATAACCCAACAACGAAATGGGCAACATATATAAATGGGCAATTCTCCAAGCAGACAATATAGAACACACAGACATATCAAAAGATGCTCAACCTCACTAATTGTCAGGGAAATGCACATTTACACAATGAGATATAATGTTTTACCCATAAGATGTGACCAAAATTAAAATGCTTCATACTATCAAATGCTGGCAAAAACATGGGGGAAGGAAGAGGGAAAATGGATGAGGCAGTAAGTGGATTTGGAGGGCCCTTAGGGTTCTCTTTTAAGAGAAAAAATATACTAACCCGGGGCCTAGCATTGCCAGTCCTCAGCCTTTGTCCTGGGGAAACACTCTCACAAATGCCTGAGGAGGACTAGCAGTGGTCAGCATAGCCTCCTTCACAACAGTATAAAGTTAGAAAAAGCCTAAATGCCCACCCAGAGGGAATAACTTAAAATATCCTACTATGGTGCTGGTTAAAAGAGGGAAGTCTCTGCTCTGTAGCCACCAACATACAGGTAGATAAGATACTTTTGAGAGGAAAAAGATACAGAACGATACCGTAGTATAATACAATTTATGGACATAAATTTGTGTTTCCTATGGATACGTACATATGTATATTAATGTTCATGAAAAGGCCTATAAGGAGTCACACCTGGAGAGGACACTGGATCAGGAGTGAGGGTGGGTGATGAAGAAAATTAACTTATCCTGATTTCCCCCAAAGGTGAATTCTCATGATTCTGTTGCCTGCCAATCAGCCATCAGTTGGCCTGTGCCTGTTGGCCCCTTGTTGCTGGAGCCCACCACCCACACTAAAAGCACCTAGTGCTAACCACTATTCCCAGCCTCTCTCATAGCTGGAGCAATCATGCCAGGGGGACCCGAGAGAAGTCTGTCAGGGCTTCTGGGAAAAGGTTCCTTTCTAAAAGATTCTGGGAGGAAATGTCCTATTCAACCATGCTTCTGATGCCTGGAACTTAAGCAACTATCTTACAACCATGAGGGCCTACATCACAAGGCAATATACAGAGGAGCAGAAATTTATAGAGGGCCTGGCCTTTTGTAAAGTCATTAAGCTATTGCTCTCCCTTTTGCCTGAACTATAAATTTGTTCTGTCTTCTGGTTAACATGCTCTGTTTCTTCTGGGACATCCTCTTTACACCCCTCCCAGGAAAGGAAGAGTCTACCTGATAGCAAAGCCAATATGGAGAAAAGTAGATCTAAGAGACACAGAAAAATACATTCCTTTAACATCACCTGACTACCTGGATCCAGCTATGCCGAAGCCAATCCTCTCACATTTTCAGGTACATGAACCAATAAATTCTCTTTCCAGCTTAAGCCAATGAGAGTCTGGTGCTATTACACTGAGAGACTCCTGGCTAAAATATGATTATTGAACTTTAGTATGTGCCAGGCATGAAAACAAAGCAGTGGGTGAAACCTAGCAATGACCCCTTCACTGACAGAGATCAAAAGAGGGCTCCTTTGGATGGGCCCCTTTCCCAACCTGAATCCAAGCTCTCTTTGGATGGTGTCTTCAGTAATTCTTCAGGTTCACACTCTTCTTCCAGCTCATCCTCTGTCTGCTCTCCAGATCTTAGGGAACAAATCTTGTCGGGCATGGATGCATATGTCTCCTGCCTGAAACCAGGAATGAGGAAGTCAAGGAGAGAAATAGGTAAGTAGGGTACTAGAGGGACCTGCCTAGGGCCAGGGCCCTGTGCTAGGTTCCAAATGAACATATTACTAACTTCTAGTCAAGATGGTGCTGGGAGCCCTAACCGGTTTGGCTCAGTGGATAGAGCGTCGGCCTGCGAACTGAAAGGTCCCAGGTTCGATTCCGGTCAAAGGCATGTACCTTGGTTGCGGGCAACATCCCCAGTAGGGGGTGTGCAGGAGGCGGCTGATGTTTGTTTCTCTCTCATCGATGTTTCCAACTCTCTATCCCTCTCCCTTCCTCTCTGTAAAAAAATCAATAAAATATATTTTAAAAAAAAAAGATGGTGCTGGGAGGTCTCACTTCTCTGCTAGAAACATATCACCATAATAAATGAGATATGAGAAAGTCTGGGCTCAAAAAATAAGACAAACACTCCAAGAGCCACAGCAATGGGACCTTTGAAAAGCAAAGCAAATAGTGGGGCTTAAGTATTGAGCTGCTGGGTTCTGTTTTAGGAAGTAGGGGGTAGCAATGAGATTTTTAGCTCCTTTGGAATACAGGAGACTAAAACATGCTTGACACGAGGTGGGCACTGGCACCAGGACCTGCCCCAGCCCCAGGGTAGGGTGTGAGACTCAAAACCAGGAGCCAAAGGTAGCTGCTCTCTCCCTAGGTGCCTATATCTACAATATCTCCAAAACCACTGCAGGATAGGAAGCACATATCAAGGGCTGGTCCCCACAGGGAGGCAATAACAAAGCCTCAAGACAAAGAGATGGGAACAGCTCCAGGAGCAGGAGAGAGAGATTAAAAAAAAAAATCCCATAATCTCCCAATAAAACTGAGACCTCCAAACCAAAATCCTAAATAAAAAACTAGAGCATGAATTTACTCCAAATAAAAGTGGTCTTTCAGCATAAAAACTTCCTGACCTTCCTCCCTACACCCGGAGCCTCCTGGGGCTTCCCATATCACAGTGCTCACAGGCTCTCCAAATACTTTGCTTTTCCACTCCAAAACCCTTCTCATATGTGTTATCACAACTTTGTATTCAAAGTCCATCTCCCATCCTAGACTGCGAGTGCACAAAAGGCAGGGCCCAGGGCTGTCTTGGCTGTGGCTATGTCCCCAGCATCATGCATCTTGGGGCCTAGGGCAGGAACATATTCCTCTGAGGGAGAACAGATGGGGTATGTACAGGTGGCTGCCAGGACCTGGGGTGGCTGCTCCATTTCCCATCCTTTGTATTCTGCTGCTGCTGCTGCTCCAGATGGTCAATTTCCAGCAAGTGCTGCTTCATGCAGTTGGTAATCTCTGGGCCCAGGTGCCAGATGAACACACAGCTGTAGAGGCCAAAGAGAGATGTGGAGGGGGAGGAACAATGACTACGGCTGCAATCTAACTCTGAAGCCACCTGAGTCATCACAGCCAAGACCGAATTTCCTGGCACCTCCCGGAAAACACAGCCCATCAGCTTAGTGCAGGGGCTCCAGACCATGTCAGGTCCACATCCTGCATAGGCTCCAGAACAGCTAACCAGGACCTGTTCTGAAGTCCTCCGGACCAACGAAGGGGGCTGTGAGAAAGCATTGTAGTAAATAAGGGAGTGACAAAAGGGACTTCCTTGAGTAACAACCATGTGGTAAGAAATTTATTTTTATTTATTATATTTATAAATTAGTATATATATAATTTATATAAGGAAATATATCAGAATGACATATATGATCATCACATTTGATTTTCACCATATAATTTCAAGGTAGATGGTATCAACTCTCTTACAAAGGCACAAACTGAGGCTGAGAGAGGGAAATGACCTGCTCAAGGTCACAAGTAAATAAGTAGCAGATATGGGATTTGAACTCAGGGCTGGGTGTGACACCAAGGTGCATGCTGATCAAGGAGAGAGAAAGCTGGAACACTCAGAAGAGCTCTCTGCACAGGCAGGTTGTGAGCCTGGTGTTTCCAGTCTCTGAGCCCCTGCTCCCCCCACAGTGTAGGTCCCACCCACTCCTAAAGGGAGGCCAGCCAGGGGCAGCCTCGACGCCTTTCCCACCTGTCTCCAGATACTGTAATCAAATGACGACAGTCATAGGTGAACTTCATGCCGGTGACAATTTCTAGAAACAGAGCAGAGAAGCTGCATTGACCTCTGAGTCAGAAGGCTATGTGGGGACAGGTGGGGAGATGTCTCACGTAGGGAGGTACACCCACCAGAATGGCCAAACATTTTGGCAATGCACTCGCCCGAGTAAAAGTCTATCACCGAGATGCTTTTATCAGAGCAGCTTGTGGCTAGGAAGGTGCCTGAGGGGTCCACGTGGACCTGCCGAGAAGAGGATGCAAGTGATGCTTTGTGCTGCCTGCTTCTCCCCACCCTCCCAGCCCCCACTGATTGAGGACCACCCTCGTGCTGAACACTTGGCACATGGACTCATCCCAGATAGCCCTCACGACACACACCCTGATTCGATAAGAACTCCTGTTCCCTTTTCACAGATAAAGAAATTAACAGCCACAACAATGGTACTGATGGCAGCCAGGCCCTGTGCTTAGCACTATACCTGTGTGACTTATTTCCTCCACAGAACAACCCTGTGACAGAAGCTCTCTGTATCTGCATTTTACAGATGATGAGCCAGACTGGAAAGATAACACTTGCCCAAGGTTACAGTCAGTGTGAACTCTTACCCCGTCCAGAGGCTCTGAGAAGGTCCTTGCCTTGGCCTGGATAACACAGGCAGGGGATAAGCCTGGCAAGAGAGCCCAGGCCTTTCTGAATCTTCCCACCACATTCTGTTGCCACTCAAAACGGCTCCACTTGGGGAAGGGCTCAGTAAATAAAGGTGAAGCAGTGTGGGCTACTCCTTGGCTCTCAGCCAGATCAGAGTGAATAGTTGGCCAGCAAGTGATCCTTTGACCAGGAGAGCAGATACAAGGGGGAGCCTTGGTGTGAGGTCTGTGTATAGTTTTCACCCTGGGGGCCGTGGCTCCTCACCTTCAGCAGAGACCCTTCATCGCCCTGGGAGCCCTTGTAGCATTTCTTCTGCTTTCCATTCATGGTGTTGTAGACTCTGGGGAGGTGGTTGCAGAATATGGCCAACATGGACCTGCCCACCTGCCCCCTCCTCTCTCTGGAAGCCCACTGCCACTGCTTATCCCCCATTCAATGCCTGGACTGAAATCCCATCTCAGGATGAAGTCATGGAAATTACTTATTAGGGTGTCTGTTGAGTTAATGCCTCTCTCCCCTGCCATAGAACAAGCTTGAGTGCCTGGCACCCAATTTGAATGAGCAAATGAAGGAGGTGAGAACCTCTTTGTGCATGCTATGCCCTCTGCACACTCTCTTCTCCCCTCCTTTGGCTCAGTCCTCTGGGTCCTTCACAGTCTCCGTTCAGACATTCCTTCCACCAGGCCCTGCTTGATTCCCAGGTGGGTTCAGGTATCTCTCCAGAGCCCAACCCTCTGGCTTCCCCTATCCCAGCCCTGACCACTTCATGCTGTCACTGCCTGGTGAAGTGTCCACTTCTCCTCCACAGGACTGTGAGCTTTGTAAAGGCAGGGCGGAGCTGCCCTGCTCACTGCTGCTACTGTCTATCCCAGACAAGTGCTCAGGGAATATAGGTGAAAGAATACATTTATAAGCCATATTAGCACCTCTCAGTCACCCCACATAGGCTTCTGGAGAGCTTGAAGGAACCCTCTGCTAATCTGGAGGCTAAGCCTAGGTGAATCCAGCTCCTAAGAAACACCTGCTGGGTCCCTCTGTCCACTCAGCTTCTCAGGGACCAGATGAGCAGGGTGAAGGAGAGCAGATAGCTCATGAGAAAACAGACTTAACTAGGTCCCATACAGGCCCCACTTATAAAGCAGCCAAGGCCAGGCTGAGTAAGAGCCCAGCGCAGTTCCTTACCTCACATTGCGGTCCTGGCAGGCCACAGCCACGTACTTCTGGGTGATGTCAATATCCATGTCATACAAGGTGGTCTTCTCTGCCACATGGTGAGTACGGACAAAGTGAAGCCCATCGGAGCCCTGGCAGGGCAGGCAGGGCCTTCAAAGGACAACTCTGACAAGCCCCCAAACCCCAGCCCTCAAGGAGGCCACCTCACTCTACCTGCTGGGCACTGCGAAAGTAGATGCTCTTATCGGCCCCACAGCTGATCATTTGGATGTCTCTGTTGCCTGGAAGAGGAGGAGGTGGTGTATTAGGTCACCACTGGGCCTGACTAGGGCCAGGATCCTAGCTACAGAACTCCACTGCAAGGGAATTCTGCTAGGGGTCAGGGAGGGCTTTCCAGAGGTGAGGTGGGTGCTAGGTGCAGATAGGAGTCTGTAAGATGTGAGCGGTGTGTGTGAGGGGGTACAGGTGGAGCAGCTGCGAGGCCTCTGTTGAACAAGGACAGATAGGGAAACAAAAGCCAGGTACACAGAAGGGGCACCATGTCTAAGACAGGTAGACTACTGGGAGACTCATGCCATCAAGAACTATCAGAATATCCCCACATATCTCAGGCCAGGCCCCATGCCACCTGTGCTTCCCTCTGCCTGACTGCTCACTAGCCACTCATTACACAAATGTGACCCAGGGGCTGAGTCACATAGTCTTGTCCCAGGGTGCACAGAGAGTCAGGACAGGACCAGGACTGAAGCCTGGCATTCTCTGGTTAAATGCTGTGCTCTGAACCCTGCTTCCTCTCCAAACCTCAGCTTCCTATCTGTATAATGGGCCTATAATGACCCCTGCCCTAAGAAATTTTGTGAAACCTTTGGAAAAGTGGCTGCCACCTGGTAAGCACTTTTATTTTTCTTCCTTTATTAAAAATATATTTTTTATTTTTATTGATTTCAAAGAAGAAGGGAGAAATAGAAACATCAATGATGAGAGAGAATCACTGATCGGCTGCTCCTGCACGCCCTCTACTGGAGATCAAGCCCGCAACCTGGGCATGTAACCTGTTCGGGAATTGAACCATGATCTCCTGGTTCATAGATTGATGCTCAACCACTATGCCACACTGCCTGGGCTATTATTCTTTCTTTATAGAATAACAGCACAAACACCTCACAGAGTTGAGGTGAAAATTAAAAGACAAAATAAATATTCACAGGCTTGGTACAACAGATGCTGCTCCTTCATGACAAGACATTTGAGAGAGCCCAGGACTGACATACAAGTTAAGATGTTACTCAAGCAGGAGTCACTGGCTCACAGAAGGGAGTGAGCCATTTGCAGGAGGGAGTGTGACATGGGAAGGACCCAGAGAGGGCCTGCACATTACTGTTAATGTTCTGCTTTTTAACCTGGGGTGGTAGATCTAAACATTTAGTAATGTTAGGACCAAGAACAATCAGAACAATCGCTGGCTATAAAAAATTGGTGTAGCCCTGATCGGTTTGGCTCAGTGGATAGAGCGTCGACCTGGGGACTGAAGGGTCCCAGGTTCGATTCCAGTCAAGGGCATGTACCTTGGTTGCGGGCACCCCCGCAGTAGGGGATGTGCAGGAGGCAGCTAATCGATGTTTCTCTCTCATTGATGTTTCTGATTCTCTATCCCTCTCCCTTCCTCTCTGTAAAAAATCAATAAAATATATATTTAAAAAATTGGTGTATGTGTTCTAGTTCATACCTATTGACTATGAACCTTGATGTGGATGTTCACTGTATTACAGTCATGTGCCTCTTAATGATGGGGATATATTCTGAGGAATGTGTTGTCAGGTGACTTTGTTGTTGTGATAACATCACAGAGTGCACTTAGATGATATAGCCTATTACATGGTTAGACTGTATGGGATAGCCCATTGCTCCCAGACTATAAGCCTGTACAGCATGTTACTACACAAAATTAAATCAAGCATTAGAGAAAATGATAAGATCAAGAGACTCAGTTAGACAAGATGTATAAGGCTGCTGCCAGTGTAACACGGCATACTGTTTTGTAGAAAACTTTGTTTTATAAGTATAAAGAGTACATGCTAAAATATAGTAAATACACAAACCAGTAACTTAGGTGTTTATTATTATTATTATTATTATTATGTACTGCATGTAATTGTATGTGTTATACTTTTTAAAAATATATATATTTTATTGATTTTTTTATAGAGAGGAAGGGAGAGGGATAGAGAGATAGAAACACCAATGAGAGAGAAACATTGATCAGCTGCCTCCTGCAAACCTCCTACTGGGGATGTGCCCGCAACCAAGGTACATGCCCTTGACCAGAATCCAACCTGGGACCCTTCAGTCCGCAGGCCGATGCTCTATCCACTGAGCCAAACCGGTTAGGGCATGTACGTGCTATACTTTTATATGACTGGCAGCTAAGATTTGTTTATGTCAGCATCACCACAAACATGTGAGTACTATGATCTGTGTTGCATTGTGATATTACCATGGCTACGATATCACTAGGCCAGTGGTCGGCAAACCGCGGCTCGCGAGCCACATGCGGCTCTTTGGCCCCTTGAGGGTGGCTCTTCCACAAAATACCACGTGCGGGCGCGCACGTACAGTGCGATTGAAACTTCATGGCCCATGTGCAGAAGTCGGTTTGCGGAAAGGAGATAGACAAAACAAGTATACAAGACGAGTGTGGATGGGAGAGTTGGAAGGGGTCGACCTCAGCGAACGTACCTCAATCAGATTGAGGACGTTTTTAGCAAAGGCCAGCTTAGGAGTACCCTAATTAAGTTAATAACAATGTACCTACCTATATAGTTTAAGTTTAAAAAATTTGGCTCTCAAAAGAAATTTCAATCGTTGTACTGTTGATATTTGGCTCTGTTGACTAATGAGTTTGCCGACCACTGCACTAGGCTATAGGAATTTTTCAGTTCCATTATGTTATAGAACCACCTTCATATAGGCAGCCTGATATTGATCGAAATGTTGTCATATGGCACATTTTATATTCTGTAAACTATATGTACTATCTTCTACTTGTTTGGACATGCCTCACAGGAAAGAGTTAGAAGACTGAGTCCTTCTTTAGCAGGGTAGTTTCAGACAGGTTAGGACTGACTGGTGCCCAGTTTATATTGACTATCGTCAATGTTTTGAGCATAACCAAGTGAGCCAGCCTGGCAGAGTGGGGCACTTAGGAGCTGGATTTAGAAGCTTCATCCTCTCAGACTGGCTGGGGCTCTAATGAAGGCCCACCTTTCAGAAGGTGGCCTAAAGGACCAACTCCTGGCCCAATTATCATCTTTCTTGGATCTAGACCATTCATTAAAGGTGAGGTCAGTGCCCTGGCTGGGTAGCTCAGTTGGTTAGAGAGTCATCCCCATACACCAAGGTTGTGGTTTTGATCCCTGGTCAGGGCACATACAGGAATGAACCAATGAATGTATAGATAAGTGGAACAGCAGATCTCTCTCTCTATATATATTTCTCTCTTTCTCTTCCTCCCTCCCTTCTTCCCTCCATCGCTCTCCTCTCTCTCAAATCAATCAATACATTAATTTTTTTAAAAAAGGTGAGGGGGAAAAAAAAGGTGAGGGGCCAAACTGCCAGATTTGCTGATTTATTCTAACTACCTCTAGCCAATGGAAAGAGCAGGGTTTTAAGGATGTCTGAGAAGTTTTAGTTGATCAGCTTTTGTGAGGTCTTCATCAAGACACAGAAAACATAGTTAACTTGTTTTTGCTCAGTGTCCTATCACCTTAGCTAGAGAGGCAGGGCAAGAAGTGGGGAGGACCAAGGGACATTAATACATTCTCAGTCACAAAATTATATGTAAATAACATTTCATAGACAAGAACTTAGACTAGATGAATGTATTCTCCCATGAATATATACTCCTTAAATAGAATTTTGAACATGTTCTTAGTCTGATCACTTACACCTCACAGGGCCTGCCTCCCCTCCCCTTGGAACTCCTGAGGGACAGGTATCTCCATACTGAATCTTTTCAGTCTTGGAAGAATCCCTTTGATTTCCTGGTTGAGCATGGGCTATGGAGAAGGATAGCCATAGGCAAGATCCTAGGCCTGCACCTACTAGCTGTGTGACTCTGGCTATAAAATGGGTTAAGGAAGGGGATACTACTGGGATGGCACAAGGATAATCCCCAGCAAAGAATTAGAACCACCTTCTGAGAGGATGGCACAAGGATAATCCCCAGCAATTGTCACTGTTACTTATTTTCCTGTCAATGTCACCAGTGCTCATCCTGTCCTCTCATCTCATAGGATTGGCACCCTGATTTCTTTTTGGGGACCAGCACTCATCTAATGCCAGTCCTCCAGGATCAGGAGTGGAGGTAGGCGGTGGCTGGACACATGAGCGTGACCTGGCCGAAGAGAACCCTCTAAAGCCCTGGCACCAAATAGCTGATCTGTAAAGGGCAGGTGCCTCAAATCAGCAAAAGGGAAGTCGGTTCCAATTTCTGCCAAAATGGATAGGAAGGGGGGAGATCTCTCTCCAGTGGCCCAGTGACAACCAAGATCCTGCCCTCCAGAGAAAGGCATAGCTAACAGAGGGAAAGAGTCCTAATAATTTAATTTTTAAAAATTCAACCTTTGGCTCCAGCTGTGCCTGAATCTAGAGTTTGTTTCTCCCTTTTTTTGGTCTAAGCTGAAGAGTTTTTGCTGTTACTTGCAGCCAAAGGAACCCATTAAATGAGGTGGTGGAAGTGGGAGGGAAGGGACTCACCTGCAAATTTGATGGCCGTGATGGAGGAGGAGTGGTCATCCAGGGTCTGCTCCAGGTTGTAGTTCTTCTCCACGTTCAGCACATGGATCAGTCGGTCCCGACTGGCCGAGGCAAGCAAGGTAAGCCCTGTGAGTGGAGAGGGTGGCCCTGGGTTCCCCGGAGACTACTTGATGCCTTGGCCTCCTAGAGAGCAGCATGGCTGAACTTTCCAGGTCTTTGGTTCCATAATTGCTGCTAACTTGCTCCAAACCCAGAAAGGGAACACTCCCTCAGCTCCGTGCAATCTTTCCCCAGTCCCCCCAAATCCTGGCATTTCACATCCCATTAATCCAGGCATTAATCCAGCAGACATTGTAGTAGAGCCCAGCACTCCTTCCTACACCTTGGCATGCCAGGTGAAGCCCTATTAACTTCTCAGCTTCCCCAAAACACTGCCCCTTCACTCTCTGAGCTCTGACTACATGGGCCTTGTCCAGGCCCTATTGACTACCAACCCACTGCCACACTTCCTTCTATCACTAGGCCTTCCCTGCTGGCCCCTTTATTTATTTATTTTTAAATATATTTTTATTGATTTCAGAGAAGAAGGAAGACAGAGAGAGAAATAGAAACATCAATGATGAGAGAGAGTCATTGATCAGCTGCCTCCTGCATGCCCCACACTGGGGATTGAGCCCGAAACTCGGGCATGTGCCCTGACTAGAAATCAAACCATGACCTCCTGGTTCATAGGTCAACGCTCAACCATTGAGCCACTCCAGCCAGGCCCTGCTGGCCCCTTTAGACAGTGCCTACGCTGGTCACCTGGTACATCTGAGGTCTAACATACGACTAGAGGTGGAAGGGAACTCAGGAAAGGTAAACTGAATAAAGAGAGATTCAAAGAAAGTTTAGTGGGATAGAGGGTACCAGGGAAGGAAGAAGGAAAGAAGAGCATGGGAAAGATCATTAACATATGAGGATATACCTCTGCCTGTTACATTCCTACCAAGAATGTATCATCGAAATCAAATTATGAGGAAAACAGACAAACCCAAATTGAAGGAAACTCTATAAAATGATTGGTCTATCCCTGGCTGTGTTTCTCAGTGGTTAGAGTGCTGGCCCACCCACCAAAGGGTTGTGGGATCAATTCCCGGTCAAGGGCACACACCTGGGTTACAGGTTCGATCCTGGCAACCAATAGATGCGTCTCTCTTATATTGATGTTTCTCTCTCCTCTCTCTCTCTTTTTTTTCTCTCTCTCTCCCTCCCTCATTCCCTCTCTCTTTCTCTCATGTGAACCTGGATTGGAAAAACAAAGGTGCTAAAAGGACAATATTGGGACACCTGGCAAAATGTGAATAAGGACCATAAGATAGATGACAATATAGCATCAAAATGAAACTCCCACATTTGATAAGCCCTAGGAAATGCTCACAGAAGCATTTAAAGGTGAATGGGCATCATACCTACAATTTACTAGTACTCTCAAATAGTTTAGTGAAAGAAAAAAGAGAATGTATATGCTATTATTTTATTACATGTGTGTATATATACACACAAACACACAGAGAGAAATGGAGAAAGGGGAAGCAGATAAAGTCATTATACAGTCACAGAGTCAGACAGAATTTAAAAGAAAAAAACGTGGAGAATCTGACTAAAGAGCATGTGGGTGTTCATTATAATATTCTTGTAATTTTTCTGTAGGCATTAAACTTTTTCAAAATAGCATGTTTAACTATCAATCTATCTTCATTAGCAGAGGATGAACTTATTCATACATTCGGCATTCACCTCTTCAGCCTGAGTCCTTTTCAGGGGACTGGGCACCAGGGTAAGCAAGTCAAGTCCAGTCCTGCCTGCCAGTGCCTTGCTTTCTGGAGTCCTAGTCACCTTGGTCCCAGGGCCCAAGACAGGGGCCCTTATTAAACACAGGACTTCCAGCTGTCATTCAGAGTCCTACCAGATACCAATTACCCCTCTATGTGGCTCTGCCAGGGGGGGGCCACTCCCCTGCCTTCCCCCTGCCACCCTGCCATGGGCTCACCAGTCTCAGGCTTGGAGTACTCCAGGCATAGCACCTCAGCATCATGGGCTTCCATCTTGACCAGCTCATCCATGAAATGCAGCTCATGGATCCTGGGAGACATACATTGACTGCTATACCCTTCTCGGAGGGCCCTCCCACCCCTGCTCCCACCCCGGGCACTCTGCCATTGCCAGGCAGGTGACATGGAGAACTAGTTTAGAGACACCCAACCACTGTTATCATCTAGAAACATGTCATCTTAAAGGAAATGTGGGTGTATCACAGTGAGCACCCAGCCCTTTGTGGTTCCATGGGCCAGATCTAGGACAGTCCTCTGGGGAAAACAAGGGTTAGGGCAGAGCTGTATCAGAGGTAATCCCAGGGGGAAGGGGGAGCAGGGGTTAGAGGTCATATTCAAGGATAGAACCTATAGGGGGAACATTTGATTCCAATCTGTCATTCTTAAAGAGTATTAAATCTAGACTTTCCTCATTCTCTCCAAATGAAATAAAACAATCAAGAGGTCATCCAGAGTTGAAATAAGAGACAATCATCCCAATTTCTCTCTCTCTACCTATGTAATCTTAGCCTAGCCACTTGGCCTCTCTTAACTCAGTTAACCCATCTGAAAATGGGGTTGATAGCAGCACTTACATCGAGGGTCAATGAGAATACTAAATTGGTCGTTACACACAGTATCAGGCGAGTGGCCAGCCCGGGGTAAGAGTGCTATGCCCACGTAGCTCTTGTTACTATTTTTGTCATTCATGGCCGACAGCAGCCCACTGATATATTCTGTTTGCCTCATGTGGTGGTTGATATCAAAACAGTTGCCAGCATTTAAAGAAATAGAATTTTCACAGAAAAAATCCTGCACTTTCTGTTCTTCTTGGACAATGAGAACACATGACAGCTTAGAGGATGTGTCTCCAGTTTCCCTGGCCCCTTCCATCCCTTGACAGGCCCAGTACCCATGTGGTCACAGCTGTCATTCATCAACTTAAACCTGGTCCCTTTAACAGGGCTCATATGCCACCAGCACCTACTGAGCCAGTAACATCTTGAAAAACCTCTGCAGTGAGGTCCCAGTAGCTACTTTCATCTCAGCGCTTTTGGAAGACACTTCTTTGCATAAGTTCCAAGGGGTGGCTGGTAACAGAATTGCTACTCACAGCCCCTCATTCTCAATGAGTAGCTGGAGGTGCAAAGGCCAGGGTTCCTCCCCACCACCCCGAGTACCTGAGCCTGAACTGGAAGGTGTACACTGGACACCCACAAGGGCCCACTTGCCTCAGATTTCCACTTCGGTCGCCTGAAGCCAAGTGTTGACCATCAGGACTGACTTGCATGACTCGTACCCCGGCTTTCACGTCCATAGGTGTCCCATTCTCACTACCCCGGTCTGGGAAGTGTGACATGTCCTGAAGGTGCTGGATGTCATTCTCTACATACACTACCTTCAGTAGGGTCTGCAGGAAGGAGAGGGCTGAAGTCAGTACTGTGAGATGGTCTGAAACACCTCTGAAATTTTGTATCCCAAGAGCCAGTCTCCCATTCTTCATTAGTAAACAGAACTCCAATTTTGACCTGGGAGGTTCACTACTCAGAATAATAACTATGTTTCCCAGCCTCCCTTGCAGCTAGATGAGGCTCTGTGAATAAATTCTGGTCAATGAGATGTAAAGCAAGCGAGAACCCTTCTGCTTCTTTCTTGCTGCCTGAAACTCACTGATATAATGACCGGAACTCTAGCAGCCATTTTGGATGATGAAGAGCAGAGTGAGAGCTAGAAGGCTCTTGAATCTCTGAGGGCTTCCTGCAGCTGCCATAACAGCTTGAACTGATTACCTCTAGACTATTTTTATGAGTCAGAAAACAAAAAATTTTACCTCTTGTTTTGGGATTTTCTATTATATACAGCCAAATATAATATGTATATCACAGGTGCAGAAGAGAAGACACTATAGCATTGGGGTGGAGGGTGAAGGGAGTAGTAAAGGAATACCTGCTATACACTCCCTACATTAATGACCTTTTTTAAAAATATATATATTTTATTGATTTTTTACAGAGAGGAAGAGAGAGGGATAGAGAGTTAGAAACATCGATGAGAGAGAAACATTGATCAGCTGCCTCCTGTACACCTCCTACTGGGAATGTGTCCGCAACCAAGGTACATGCCCTTGACTGGAATCAAGCCTGGGACCTTTCAGTCCACAGGCCAATGCTCTATCCACTGAGCCAAACCGGTTAGGGCATTAATGGTCATTTTTTCCCCAGCACCATTGACTTCTCACCAATCTCTTTCCCACCTCGGGGCCTTTGCACAAGCTGTTCCTTTGGCATGGGACACTTTTCCCTCCCCTCTTCACTCCTACCAATCCTCCATATCTCACTGTAGTTGTCTTTCCTCCAGGAAGTTGCCCCTGATGCCACAAATAAGATCAGATAACTCTATTATATATCCTACTAGCACTATGCAATTTTCTTTCATGGTGCTTACCATGCTTATGATTATATCACAATTTGTACAGTTATTAGTTCACTCTCTGCCTCCCCCCACTAGACTGTGGGTGCCATGAGTACAGAAGGGTCTATCTTAGTCACTGATGTGTCTCCAGCATGTAGCATACACAGACCTTAATAAGTATCTGCAGAATAAACAAATGCATGATTCAGGTCTCAGTTCCTCAGAGAAGCTCCCTTAGTGACCTAGCAATACCAAACATTTCTTCAGCAAAATGTTTTCTCCCCAGCCTCACCTCATGGCTCTCTCTGGGGTCCTGCCAGCACCCCTACCCATGGCCTTACTGTATGGCGGCTAGTTGACAGAGGAAGCCCCTGCCTGGCTTGGTTGATGGACCTAAGAACTCTCCTAAGGAGCTCTAACTAAAGACTTGGGGAGCAATTTCTCTTCTGTTGAGTATGTCAGGTTGCCTGGAGTGGCTGGGTAGACACACCAGGACAGCAGCTGCTCACTGGCAGAAAGAGAGCTATGCTACTCAGAAGGAAAGAGAGGGAGAGAGAGAAACAAAAAAGAAACCTGCCTTGGTTTCTGGTTCCTGCCCCGAGTGCAGTCTAATAGCAAGATCCTATAAAACGTCCTCCTGTCTCAATGTCCTAGCTTAAAGCAGGTCTTTGTTCTTCCTAAAAGATGGTTCACCTTGAAGTCACTCACATTACTGAAGATGTTTTTCTGCCAGGGAGAGTCAGGGCTGCTATTTATGTTCCAGAAGCGAATGGTGTTGTCTGAGGAACAAGTCAGAAAAGATCCAGTTGGCAGACAAGCTCTCTGATCTTCAAACTCAGGATACACCTACAGTTCCCAGATAACAAGGCAAAGGGCAATTCATTACAATCACTTCAATGACAGCACTATGATATACTGTTGCATTTTGGTGGGAAAAAGTAAGTTGCAGAGCCCTAGCCAGCATGGCTCCCTGGTTGGGGCGTTGGCCTGCACACCAAAGGGTCACGAGTTTGATTCCAGGTCAAGGGCACGTCGTATCTGGGTTTCGGGCTCACTCCCCACTCCTGTTCGGGGTGCCTATGAGAGGCAACCAGTCGATGTGTCTTTCTCACATTGATGTTTTTTTCTCTCTCCTTCCCTCTTTCTCTGAAAAGCAATGGAAAAAATATCCTCAGCTGAGGATTAACAAAACAACAAAAAAGTAAGTTGCAGATAAATAAGCATAATTTAATGCTTTCTATGTTAAAAATAAGCAAGAGAAAAGGGACACAAAATGCTACCATATATCGTCCATGTGCCCCATCTTCAGCCCAGGCTGTAAAACATCCCCACAAATAAACTTCCAAGAAAAATTGGCAGCTCACCAAACACAAAAGGAAACAAGGTACCATGAGCAAGCAGCAGCAGAAACATCAGACAGAATAAAAAATAACTATGCTTAATATGTTTAAAGAAATAGAACTTTGACAAGATTGAAAGTATGAGTAGCCAACCAGAAACTATAAAGAATAACTAAGCAGGGCTGAAAAAGAACAAAATAAAATTGTTTCTAGAAGTGAAAAATAGACAAGAGAAACAAAAGAATGAACACCCCAAAATCAACACCCCAAAATTGATGTCTTTTTTATACACCAATAATGAATTCTCAGAAAGAGAAACTAAACAAACAATCCAATTCACTACCGCAACAACAAAAAAATTAAGATACTTAGGAATAAACTTAACCAAGGAGGTAAAGGACCTGTACTTGGAAAACTACAGGACATTAAAAAAAGAGATAAAGATATAAACAAGTGGAAGAATATACTGTGTTCATGGATTGGTAGAATTAACATCATTAAAATGTCCATACTACTCAAGGCAATCTACAGATTCAATGCCATTCCTATTAAAATACCAATGGCATATTTCACAGATCTAAAACAAGTACTCCAAAAATTTGTATGGAACCAAAAAAGACCTCTAATAGCTACAACAATCTTGAGAAAGAAGAACAAAGTTGGAGGGATCACAATACCAGATATCAAGTTATACTACAAAGCCACAGTAATCAAAACAGCCTGGTACTGGCACAAGAACAGGCATATAGATCAAAGGAACAGAATAGACTTCAGAAATTGACCCAAGCCATTAGGCTCAATTAATATTTGACGAAGGAGGCAAGAACACACAATAGAGTCAAGACAGTCTCATCAATAAATGGTGTTGGGAAAATTGGACCAATACATACAAAAAAAAAAAAAAAAGAAAGAAAGAAAGAAACTAGACCACCAACTTACACCATACATAAGAATAAACTCAAAATAGATAAAAAGGTTTAGATGTAAGTTGTGAAACCATAAATATCCTAGAAGAAACCATAGGCAACAAAATCTCAGACATCTCTCATTGCAATATGTTTACGGATACATCTCCTAGGGTAAATAAAACTAAGGAGAAAATAAACAAATAGGACTACATCAATATAAAAAGCTTCTACACGGCAAAAGAAACCATCAACAAAACGAAAAGGAAGCCCGGTATGGGAGAACATACATCTGATAAAGGGTTAATATCCAAAATATGTAAGGAACTCATACAACCTAACAAAAGGAAGACAACAAACCAATTAAAAAATGGGCAAAGGACCTAAGTAGACACTTCTCCAAAGTAGACATATAGATGGTCAAGAGACATATGAAAAAATACTCGAAGTCAGTGATCATCAGAGAGATGCAAATTAAAAGGAATATTAGGTATCACTTCACACCTGTCAGAATAGCTATCATCAACAAATTAATAAACAAGTGCTGGCCAAGATGTGGAGAAAAGGGAACCCTAGTACCAGAATGCAGATTGGTACAGCCATTATGGAAAACAGTATGCATAACTCATGGACACAGACAATAGGGAGGTGCAGGCCTGGGGTCGGGCTAGAGGGGTCAATGGATGAAAAAAGGAGACATATGTAATACTTTCAACAATAAAGGTATCTTTTTTAAAAATTGGGCAAAGGACCTAAACAGATACTTCTCCAAAATGGACATACAGATGGCCAAGAGACATACGAAAAAATGCTCAAAGTCACTGATCATCAGAGAGAGGCAATTAAAATCACATTGAGGTATCACCTTTGACCTATAAGAATGGCTACCAACAGCAAATGACAAGTGCTGGTGAGGATGTGGAGAAAAGGGAACTCTAGTACACTGCTGGTAGGAATGCAATCTGGTGCAGTCATTACGGAAAAACAGTATGGAGTTACCTCAAAAAATTAAATATGGAACTGCCATTTGACCCAGTGATCCCACTTCTAGGAATATATCCTAAGAAACCCGAAACACCAATCAGAAAGAATATATGCACCCCTAGGTTCGGAGCAGCACAATTTACAATAGCTAAGATTTGGAAACAGCCCAAGTGCCCATCAGTAGACAAGTGGATAAAAAAGCTATGGTACATTTACATCATGGAATACTATGCAGCAGTAAAAAGGAAGGAAGGATCTCTTACCCGTTGAGACAGCATGGAGGGACCAGAGAGTATTATGCTAAGAGAAATAAGCCAGTCAGAGAAAGAAAAGTATCACATGATCTCACTCATATGTGGAATCTAATGAACAAAATAAACTGTTGAACAAAATAGATCCACAGACATAGAACAAACTATTGACTCTCAGATGGAAGGCAGGAGGTCGAGGGGTGGGGAGGGGGGCGGGGAGGAAATCAACCAAAGAACTTGTATGCGTATATGCATAACCCATGGACACTGACAATAGGGAGGTGTAGGTCTGGGACAGGGGGTGGGAGTGGGCTATAAGAAGTCAAAGGGCGGAGGGAACATATGTAATACTTTCAACAATAAAGTTTTTTTCAAAAAAAGGAAACATTATGCTTAGATGAAAGAAATCAGACACAAAGTCCACATATTCTATGATTCCATTTATATGAAATATTCAGAAAAGGCAAATCCATAGTGACAGAAAGCAGATTAGTTGTTATTGGGGTAATAGGCAGTGATTGTTTAATGATTACAGACAGTTTCCTTTTGGGCCGATGAAAATGTTTCAGAACTAGACAGTAGTGGCTATTGCAGAACACTGTGAATATACTAAATGCCACTGAATTGTACATGTTATAATGATTTAAATGATAAATTTTGTGTTACGTGTATTTTACAATATATATGTACCCTTATAATCCCCCAAATAAATTAGGTCAAAAGGGATAGACTCTAGTACAGTGATGGCGAAGCTATGACACACATGTCAGAGGTGACACGCAAACTCATTTTTTTGGTTGATTTTTCTTTGTTAAATGGCATTTAAATATATAAAATAAATATCAAAAATATAAATCTTTGTTTTACTATGGTTGCAAATATCAAAAAATTTCTATATGTGACACGGCACCGGAGTTAAGTTAGGGTTTTTCAAAATGCTGACACGCCGAGCTCAAAAGGTTCACCATCACTGCTCTAGTATATAATAGCTACATGACCAGATTATTTACAGTATGATTATGATTATGATTAATTTATTTATTTATGATTTTAATCCTCACCTGAGGAATCTCTTCCAGATTTTCAGATTTGATTCACAGGAAATCAAACCCGTGACCATGAACCTTCGGTCCGAGGGCCAATACTCTAAGCACTGAGCCAACCTGGCCAGGGCCAGTATGATTATTTTAAAAATTGGGGAGAATAGAGAGAATGAATGCAAAAAATAAAATAAAATGTTTTAACTGTTTTCAAAATTGAATAATTGTCATTCTTAGACTGTTTTATATGTAAGGCGAGAATAAGTAAATGATTAACTGGGGATATTATAATTCCATCATCACCTATGTCTTTGATAACGAGAATTCTGGAAGGATCAATCCAATAGCTATGAGCATAGCCAGCACCCTAACTGTAATTCTAAAATACCACTTTGAACTGAAAACACACACACAAACAAAAGCTAAGGGCTTCTTCAAAAAATGGCTAGCCCTGGCCGGTGTGGCTCAGTGCATTGGCCTGTGCATCAAAGAGTCTCAGGTTCAATTCCCAGGCAAGGACACATACCTGGGTTGTAGTTTTGATCCCTGGCCCCAGTTGGGGCGCGTGTGGAAGGCAACCAATCAATCTGTCCCTCTCACATCGATACGTTTCTCTCTCTCCTCCCTTCCACTCTCTCTAAAAAAAATCAGTGGAAAAAATATCCTCGGGTGAGGATTAACAACAACAAAAATAAATGGCTGATTCCAGGCCTGGGACAGGAAATGTACAAGATGAGGCTGGAACATCTGGTCATAGCAAGGTATTTATCAAAGACTATTAGGGTCATGTCCAGAGGACTCAGGAGCTAAGATGAAAAGGCTCCCACTGGCATAAGACAATTTGAGCTTCAATAATGTTAATAACTGCAATGGAATAAAATGTATTTAATATATTTAAACATATGCATTTATAATGATATTAAAAAACAACAACAGTTACCTTTAGAGGATAGGGAACCAATTCATTATCTCAAAAACTGGTAAATAAAGGGAAAAAATCAAGCATTTATCCTGCTTTTCCTATATGAAGTGTACCACTGGGTGACCAAATGGTAGATGAGGGGAAGTGTCTCTTCACATAAGTAATTCAACTAATAAAAAGAAATGATGTGCCCTAACTGGTTTGGCTCAGTGGATAGAGCGTCAGCCTGCGGACTGAAGGGTCCCAGGTTCGATTTCAGTCAAGGGCATGTACCGGTTGCAGCTTGATCCCTGGCCCCAGCCCTGGTCAGAGCACATGCGGGAGGCAACTAATTGATGTGCCTCTCACATTGATGTTTTTCCCTCTTCTCTCCCCCTCCTTTCCTCTCTTTAAAAAATCAATGG